ACAATCTAAGTGCACGGCGTGAAACGGGTGGAGCAGTGGCGTTTGGGGCGTGTCCAACTGAAAAAGTGGTCAGAGCGAGGGGCGCATTGTTCTAGGGGTTGTAGTGAGTCTGTGAATTAGTTGGGCTGTGTTTGGGCGTAACATGCAATAAGCCATCAGATTGTCATTTCCCATTCCCTTTAAAGCCAGGTGTGCTTGTATCTTGTACTGTCTCTGATGTTCCTCTGTGGCTTATCAGTGACGTGTCTGAACTCCAGTCTGTTAACCAGACAGCGCATCTCCTCTGTGAAACGTCTGGATCCTCACTGCGCTGCGTTATTAGAAACTATGATGAACCGTCGAGGGTCACATCTCTCCCCTACAGTGGTTTCCTTATTTGTGCTTTGTTGCTGTATGACGGTTTACATAAATGATCAAGAGGCTGCTGTCAGTTTCTATGTGCAGTAAAGTCACAGCAAATACTGTATCATGATGCATTTAAACAGCAAACCAAAGGACAGGAAACCCTCCAGAGGAAACAGAATTCAACTTATAGCTTCTGAAACAATTTAGACTCTCTGATGGAGCTCAGGAGTGATCAGCAGGACGGCTGTTTTACTTCAGTTTCTCTGTGAACCTGGACTGTGTGTGAGACCTTTTGGATGCGGAGAACACAGAACATGAATTAACATTAACCCTGACCAATCCTGTTGGCGTGTTAGGAGATTTGAATCATCATTGAAGTATGTTGCTGTGCCTCGTGCCTAAATGCACACAGTGTCTCTCGTACCTTTGGAGGTAATGCGCCCTTAAATAATAAAAACAGTCAAATGCTGCGCAGTTGTCTTTAGACACGTTCTTTTCGTTCAATGGCGCTATCACTTTCTGCTGCCTCAAGATAGCATGCGCCGACAAGTTGCCTTACTACACCTCATTTTAAGCCAACACTCCCATGGGTGCACAGATGGGCGCAAGTGCATTTGTTATTTAAACAACGGCGTGCCTGGCGTCGGCTGAAACTAGCAATGACACTTGCAACAAAGCCTCAAGTCAGGTCCAGCATCAGGTCTTGAATCAAAGACAACAAGTCCATCAGGTCCCAAGAGGAGATCTACAAGTCCCAAGTCAATATTCTGAGGTCAAGAGGAGTTTTGTTCCATAGCAGAGATTTCAGTAACTGAGAAATTGATCAGTTTGGTGTATCAATCAACAACCTGATCATGTTATGATGGTGCTAACTCACTTCTTTTTCATCTCTGGTTCTTCAGGGTCAGAAGTCATCAAAATCCCATGATGCATCATGAAGCCCTGACTGCCGACTGCTGGAGCTACACACTACTTGTAGACACACAGACGCACAAAACACAAAAATTAATGTAAATTCCGTTTTAAGGCTTAAACTGTAAAAGCTGTGAGGCGTTCAGTGAAAGGGTTATGGGTTTAAATCCTCCCGGAAGTTCACTCAAATAATGCTTAAACGCTTCACCACATCTATCGTTATCTATTTATTTCCATTCTTTGCTTTTCTGGTATCAGAAGTCA